GTCTGTAAAGGCAAATTTTAAAGCGCATTAAAAGGTGAAGTCTAGTTGGAAAAAAAGGGCTTCAAAAAGTGCTGAAGGAGACATCGAATGCGAATGGGCTAGATTCACAGAAAAAAACGGTAAGTTAGAGGTTACACTTTGAGGTATCCCTTACATCACCGACAGCAAGTGTTTCCCAAACTTTTGTCCCTTCTGCATAGAAGCATCCATCTTAAAGACACGACTACACTCCCACAAACTCCCATTGCAGGGCTCATTTAAACTGTGTCCACTTCACGGCAATCCAATGTTGTAAGCCTCTTTTCACACACTCTATCAGTTGGTACACCACTTTTAAGCCCTCCTTCAAAGTTTACTCGGTCATCATTTAAGCCATCGACAACTTCAGCTCACTCATTCCATGAGGTTCACTTTCCACAACTGATCGAGAGATCTTCACGAGTGGTAAAAAAGATATTCTAAATGGCGCCTTTTTTGGCTCGGCCCTGAACTTCCATTGCTGTATGGGTCACAACACAGTGCAACAACCCAGATGAAAACATGAGGGACAACATGGCGGTAGGCACGTGACATGCTGGCAAGACTAGATGTCATTCCCTCTGTGCGGCAAAAGTGAAAGTGGCCGCAAACACCAGTCACAGAGGAGGAGTTGGGTCAAAGTGACAGTTGGGATGACGTGCTGTTCAATGGCACAGGTATTTACAAAGGCCATCAAGGCAAAGGAAAGGTTGAAAGGTGGGAGGCCAGTTGAGCCTTCGATGTTTTGTGAATTGAGTGGAGCACACATTCATTAAAAACCCTAACCGCTTAAAGTACCCCAGTTTTGAATCAGTATTTGATAAAGCTGTGCAGGGAAGGTAGCGAAATCTTTGCGCAACTCTCGGCGCAGCAGTTGAAGGTTGGATTCTGTGGGCCTGAAATGGAAGGGATCTCCACTTCACCTGATTCGACAAAGTAGCTACAATTGGACCACTGAGAAGAGAGGCATAGACAACATTCAAATTGCCCTTCAAAGACGTCAAATAAACTTTAATACGACCCCGACACACCCAAAAAGCAAATAACAAGGTTGGACACGCAGCAAACGAACCTCGAGAAATGTAACCAAACTTCTTAGCTGTGCAAGAAGCCACCAGGAAGGGCAAGCAGGTGTAAAATAGGGGATTCATAAAAGCCAACAGCATCGCACTCCTGGATAAGGAGACGGGAGAGTGAAAGATCGAAAAAAAAAATGAATTAAAAGACTACACATGAGTGCTTCCCACCAAACACCTCACATGCATGTTCCAACACACAAAAAAAAGGATAATCGTGAAAAAAACCGACCTGCTGCAGAGGAGTAAGCCACTCCTTGGGAATAGACTTCTCGATGAAGGGCAGTTTCGTGCTCACAACAGCCAACCGATTAATCCACTTGGGCAGCGTAGCACCACAGAGAATCTGAAATATGAAACAAGTTCCAATTGCATCATGGAGTCCTCCAAACCATCAGTTACGCCCCTGACTCGTTTTATTTGGTAAATATGATTCCCAAAACGAACGACACGAAACTGGTACTAGTGTGACCGCATGGCCCTGCGTAGATGGGCGTGCAACCTTAAGAAACGTATTGCCAGGCTTTCAGGACGTGGAGATTATGCTTAATTTGCTAAACAGCATAGGTCATACTAAGGGAGTGATAAGATTTCCTAATTCAAGAAAATAAAAATACCCCGAAGGACACCAGACTTAGCCTTGCATTAGTAGGAACGATTTATCGTCGAATTGGACGTATGCAGGGGAAAAAATTAGCGCTGACTTCTTCACGATACGTCACCCCTTTTTGACAGCAGGTCCAAGTTGAAGGTTAACAGTGGATTTTGTAATAACCAATGTGAAGGAAAATTTGCTTTTTCTGTACACTTATTGAGACTTTTGTGCAGAATGTCTCCGATAACTCGCGTGTCCAGCGCCAACACAAAGCTAACTGACTGACTGACAGACAAGTTCAGCGGAAATCCGACATCAACTTCACCGTCTTACAATTCTAAAGATCAACGTTGAGGAGCAACAATTCACCATGCATAGTGCAGGAAACGATTTTCAGCTCCTACGAGGGAAAAACGCCCAAGTTGACGGCCTCTGAAAATCAGACCAACCTCTGTAAAAGACAACACTTGATCACACAACGCTCATACAAATACAACTCTAACTAGGGACAACACATGGACTTATAAATCGCCTGACATCCAACGTACAAGAGGTGCTCAAGCCAAATTGAAGTTCAGAGCTTACGTAAAAGGAAAGTGAAAATTTGTCGGAATGTTTACCCACTTCTTGAGAAAATGTTGTAAATTTGGGCTTAACTGGTGTGGGATTGCCTACGTACCTACGAATTCAAATGGATAGCCATTTACTCACCCTTAATAGAGCGTGTCGACCTCTGAACATTCGCAGGGATGACACCTCTAGACTTGGAGCCAGTACTGTGACCCTTTGGAACTTTTGCGTTGTCCAAGCGCCTAACGACTGATGCCAAGGCTCCTGGCATTATTGTGACATATTTGAAGCTGTTAAGAGATTTGGCCAAATAATGCTACCAATAATCCGGCAAACGTACACAAAACTACCACCACTTGGTCAGTTTCAGAAGTGAATTGCGTCATTTGTGCGCTGAGAGCCAGTAAAAAGTAACAACATGAGTAACCAACCCTCGCAGTACCGCCACAGATGTCACCACCCTTGTCTGTAAAATTAAAGGTTTTGACCCAAGATTTCAGGCAGCGTACCACCTGATAGATTAACTTCGACAAGAGCTGTAGAAAACGCCTAGACGGAGCGCAGCAAAACAAAAAAACAGTTCTTTCAAATTAACGAATCTCATGCACGAGACAAGGTGCAAACAATGCAGTGTGAAAAGGCGATTTACGTACCAAGTGAATTCATCTCCAGCCATACTTCCATTGCAAATACTGAGCAATAATAATAATTCCCAATGAAGTGCAATTTCTCCATCAAACCTTTGCTTTTAGTTATCAAAGAAACGATACGTGCAAATGGAAAAAGGTGGAAACCAGGTAGTGTAATGGGACCTATGTTTGTTGCAACCCCATCCTTAAGTCTACTAATTACCACTCGTATTACAGAGCAACAAGTCCATCGTTAACCACGCTATGTGGAGAAAAAAGTGCAATACACTTACCTCGATAAATGCATTTGAGAAGTGGTTACAGTTCTTGCGCAAAAGGTGGTAATGTGCACCTCTAAAGTCCCGCTCCATGTTGCTGAGAATTGCGCAGACGTCGCGGTAGGTGAAGTCCGTAAACCCCACCACAATTGAAGTTCTACGTCAAAGTGAAAAAGAGAATTCAGCAATGGTGAACTAGCTAGGAAAAGCAAATAGAGAGACGCTAACTTGAAGGAGTAGTTGGGACCGAGATTTTCCGTATCACGAGGAGTCATCTCAAAAATGCCTGAGCCACCAAATTGATGACCTCCATAACAGTACTCGCGTTCATAGACCTCCACACCTGTGTGGTAGACGCCCAAACCAATGTTGCCAATGTACTCGTTCAGCCAGGACTACAGACGAGGGGTGAAAAACTACTACTAGAGATGTCGCCAAAGAAAAAATCTTAATGCAGAGCAAGAAAACTTACCATATCGTAGACGTTGACGGTGACGGGACTGGACTCGGCTACTGAATTTGAAAATGTGGGGCTGCCATACATTGCCATATCTCTGTTCTCCTAAAAGAAGGCGTCACCTATAAATTGAGTACATTAACACATAGCTCATATTTGCAACTGGATGAATAAAAGCAATCGGTCGACTCGGTATGCCAATCAAATGGAAGAATTCTTTCAATGAGATTCACGTATGTCTCAACAACTCAGTTAAAATATTAAATTCTTATTAAAAGCATAAAACCGAAGTATAACCGTACGGAGTGCCTGATCACCTACCACGACGTGGAAAAAAAACCAACGAGTGAGCGATGGTTGTGGCCGGATCAATGTTTCGGGATTTGACTACTTGGGTTATGCGAATTAAAAGGTTTGCCAGTGTTTCATAATACATTCATAACACTAGCTCCCTTTGCAACTGAGTTCTAATTCAAACATAAACATACTAATGATACACGACCTCACAAAACGCTTAACATGGAAGACAGTGTAAAGGCTTCAAAAAAACTACTACCCAACCACATGAGACACGTAACCAAAGTATCAGTCGTATTAGCAGAAAACTGTGTGAAAGTGCAACGATAACTATGTTTACATAAGCCGCGTGTGAAACCAGAGCCCAAGAACTATTTTTATATGAAAGGATGCATTATGAATGGAATCTGAAGCTTGCGTAAGGCGCATGGAAGGCTTACTATCAGCAAACTTGCAGGGCACTTTCAGTGCAATACTAGAGAAGAAATGGATAAAACAAAATCAAGGAGCCATGTAAAGAGAATACCGCGCAGACCGAACCTATCGATAAAGGAAGACGAAGCATTAGCAGCGCACACCAATCTATGTATCTTGATGGCACTATAAGGATGTACTTCAGATGAAATAAGTGCACGAAAGGACGTAAGAGTACAACGGCATTGATATGCACGTGAATAAATCACACCTCTCCCAAGACAAAGCCATGCGACGTTCAAAAAGAGCACAAATAGAAATATGAAATTCAGATCGAATCGAAAAAGGAAATTTTAGAACATGTGACTGCCAGATTTCCCAAAACGAACAGTAAATATAAAACCCATGACAAATGGAGGTAATGACCTCCAACAGCCAAATGACGCAAATATTAAAGGCTGTTAGGAAAAGCAGGGGAAACATATAAAGTATACATAAAGCAAAGAGCCGTGGTCGCTGACGAAGCAAGGATCAAATTGAAACCAGAAGCAACAGAATAGTAAATAAATAAAAGGCCAGAAAAATAATCCCTTGATGCATATATATGTGGAGCTACAACCACACGACCACATCCTAATGTACCAAAGGACGGTTCAGATTATGAACGTCTAAAAAATAAGTTATGCTAAAGGATGTAAGAGAGTTCGCCATAAAACTTAGGACAAAATGCTCAAAAAAGCACCATCAAAGTTAATTTTGCATAAGTAACACTAAAGACAAACACGATGAACAATAATAAGGCAAATAAATGATGGAGGCATCAAAACGTAAAAACCATACATGATTGGAGACAAATCATACTATAAAAGCTCAACAAACACCATAAAAGTCATTCATACAAAAAAAGCCCTCACGCGAACGAGACTGCAAACAGTTCGCAAATCCTACAATCCTACCAGCTTCAGCGACTGATTTCAAATGACCGCCAGTGATGGATACTGCCCGTCAATCAACACTTGATAAAAAACCGAAGACGAGTAGGTGATTGGCTAACTACGCTGACCAATGCCAGAGAGAAAAAGATCTAGCTTATTGAATTCAATGAAGAAGTAGCTAAGCCACACAGCAGAGCAGCACCAAATTCACGAATTTGTGCTTAACGAAGAGGCTGGCCGTTAAGCAACGTTTACAAAAGGTAGAGAACGAATGCTCTTATTATTTTTATACGGATAAGAATCTTCATAATAAAAGATCGAGTGTATTTTGCCCGGTTTTATAGTTACGCTTGCGCGAAAAATTAAAAACTCAAGTATTTAGCGTGAGTGTTGCAGAACAATGACAGTTTATTAATAGGACTTTCAACATTTTATATTTGAAGAGTTTTAAATCCAATGAAAGATGCACTTTTTACCAACACCGGACTGCTTTATAATAACTTTTTCGCAACGAAAATTTTCATGAATTTTTTCGGCTCTGTGCATAAGGTATGCTAAAACTTTTACATTTGTAGTGCTGCTTTTTACCTTATTGGCATAATTGGCGGATTTTAGGATTGGCTTTCGAGTTTCGCTGTTGCTGTCTACGGATTTTTATTTGCTTCTTAACCGTTAAGAGGGTCTCGCAATTTTTGCCTTTGTTTTAACTTGCGATTTGCTATTTATTTATTGCAATCAAGCTTTTGGGGAAGTTTTGCTGATTGAAAGGACAAAATAGTTCCGCTAATCCGTGCACACAGACTTTTTGCAATTTTCTATTGGTTACGGCATGCCGCATATATCAAGTGTTGGGGTCCGAGATTAAACTGACGTAGGCCTTTGTAGACGCTTTTTTACGATCAGTTAATTCCTACTGATACTTTTATCGCAATATTGACTGTAATTTTAGGGACATAGCTCATGTTCGCTCTTCCTCATTGTGAATGATCTTTATGCGTTTAACTTAATTTTGGACAACATATTCTGCTACGACTAAATGGTTGTGTATGCTATTTAGGAGCATGATGTGCTCGTCTGCAAATGTTACCGAACGTCGATTTATCACACGCAAGGAGTACCTTGTATTATTCAACATGGGTGTTGATTGCTATTTTTCTGTCGGAGGCCGGCTCATCAATCACCCAAGCGATGTAGAGGATGAAGAGACTCTTGTTCAGGTTCACCCTCGCCTGCGAGGTGGAAAAGGCGGTTTTGGATCTATGCTGCGTGCTATTGGTAACCAAATTGAAAAGACGAACAACCACGATATGTGCAGAGACCTTTCTGGTCGTCGAATGCGTGATGTGAATGCAGAAGCCAAACTCAAGGAGTGGTATGCTAAAGCGGGAGAACGTGAACGCGCCAAGGTGGATCGTTACCTTGAAAAACAGCGACGCCGCCGCGAGGCATTGGATAAGGGTCTTCTTCATGACCACAAATTCAACGATCCGGATTTTGCAAAGCGCAAAGAACACATTTCTGCTGAACTTCAGGATGCTGTGGAGGCAATGCTATCACAAGTTGTCGCTGATGCCGCCTCCTCTGAACCCGCCAAAAAGAAGGCAAAATTATGGATCGAACAACTTGATGAGGATGTTTCTTCAAGTAACGATGATGGTAGCGATGGTAATGATTCTGATGATTCATCCCCTCTGGATCTGACGGAGAAGGAAGATCACATAGCTCCTTCATTGGAGTCGATAGCGAATTCGGAAACCAGTAAGCTTTTTTGTAAGCATCTCTTTCATAGTACTTAAACTCCTTTAATCACATTTTCTTATTTCACAAGATCTTGAATTTGTTTCCAACAAAGAAAATGATGAAAAGGTGACAGAACAGGTAGTTTTAACTGAGGAAGTTCTTGCTGAGTCGCAAAATGAGGGAAATGTGACCATGACAAGCGAGAAAGAAGTTTCACCTGTAACAGGGAGGCCTTCGGAGGCTGTTTCTATAACGGATTCAGTGTTAGATGCAGCTTCTTCGGCAGTAGAGTTGGAGTCGTATGGTTTGGAGGTGCTGAAGCAAGCGCTTTCGTGTCGGGGATTGAAATGCGGTGGTACCCTTTCAGAACGCGCGAACAGACTTTTCTCAGTGCGTGGACTTGATCCCTCCCAGTATCCCGCAAAAATACTGGCAAAGCCCTCAAGGAAATGAGTTCTTTGTGTATTTATTTACGAATGTACGCCTTTAACTCACCTCTTTGTTGATTGATGCAATGATGCTAGCATGTAATACCCAGCAACTGTACTACACTGTCTTGTAACTTTTGTTGTAAGTTTTGCTTATTTTTTGGTATTGCTACGCTTTAAGTGTTTCTTGATGAAGCTGTTGGGGGTTCCAGTCTTAAATTCTATCAGCGTACAGTGTTAGCAATTCGAGAATATATTCGTAGAGCTATGGCCTTGAAAGGCTCATTCGCTAGATCATTAAGAAGTGCTCATCACTTGAACGGTCTGTTTGGGGTTCGATAATAAAATAATATCATTTACATTGAAAGTGGTGGAAGAAGATGGTTTATGATTCTCCTTTGTGTCATTGTTGATGGCATCCGTCGTAGAACGCACAGGCAATGTGAGGAGCCTGTGCGCATTATGCTCAAATTCGATCAGAGAAGGTGACATTACCGATTACAAATTCGACTATATGGCATTACCTTTACTGGCCGCATACCAGTAAAAGTAGATGCCTGTCTGACCAGACTTTGAGGAAATCAGAAGTCGAAATATATCTATATAGTGCTGTTGAAAATTTACAATCGCATAGGTGGCGGACGCAGCGTCACGATAACAATTAGACCAATAAAAGGCAACGAGGTAATGCCAATGTGAGGATTACACCCACTACTCCACTTCAAGGAGTGTGGCTAAGCTGATGCAATCGTCAGAAGTGGAGGACTCATCATCATCATCGTGACATTCTTTTCTGAGGTCACTAAAGATGTCGTCCATCGGCTCCAGAGGTAGCGACAAATGCTGTGCAGCATCGCTTGATCGATCTGAAAAAATGGGCGATGGGGAACGAGATTCGCGGGCTTTCACACCTCGTCTGAGCATCAAATTCGATTGTCGTCGGCAGCGGATGTTGGAATTGCATTGACCACTGCCAAGATTATATGTGATGAAGAAGGAGATGGAGATTTGATAGTTGAATGAAAAAGTCAAGCAGTAAATTGGAGGAAAAGAATGCAAAGTGCGGAGTGCACAGTTTTCAAGTTAAAAAAATATCATAAATTCTATAGGTTTCTAGGTTTTGAAAAAGACTTCATGCTTACTTGAACTGAAGCTCGTTTTTCCCAGGCGTAGGTATAGCGAGTATTTTGTCACTAACTTTTATTGAAAAATCCGACTTTTTCCGGACGAAGGAGTTGTGCTACATTAATTCAAAGTATCAGAAACAAAACCACACGAATTCTAGAATGAAGGTTAATAAAGGTTCCTATGTGTATTTTGGAAAATTCAAGGGAATTTTTAGGGAGCATTCACAAGAATTAGTAAATCCATAAAGAGAAGAAAATGCGTTCTCCTTAAAGATAAAAAATAAAGCACAAACTAATAATATAAATGCAGACCTTGAGAAGTGTTCTTACATCGTTACTGAACAAAGGAACAGTACTGAATGTTCGTCTTGGGTTTGGTTCATGTGCCGGTGTTGTAAATTTCACTAAATGTGATATAAATTGGCACAATAAAGACACACTACCAAAATCCCTTTGCGAAGCTAAACGCTGGGGATTTGGGCTCACATAGGGGGGAGGGCGTGGCTTCTTAAAACATGGAAAATGCGCTCTTGCAGATTCCATTTTCGTTTTAGCTAATTTCACAATAAAACTTTCAAATATGTTACGCAATATCCCTACTCCAAATTTGAGGCAAAACTGTCCATTTTCAACTTCAAGGAATTTTTTTGACAAAGACTGTCCTGAAGCGAACGAGGTATCATGGAGACATCCCACTGCGTAAAAAGGTTCTGTAAACTATCTTTCATTGCATTTGTTATCGAGGTAGTCTAAAGTAATTTTGTAAAATTGGAGAGTATGTACTTCCTCTGCCTGTGTAAACATTTCTTTGGCATTTTCCATGCATGATTCAAGTTTTTTGACTGCCTCTTCTAGCTGAGAATCTGGTAAAGTAAGTAAACGGCACATAATAACTTACGAAAACGACCTGATTCATTGTCAATAGAGGGTTCTGAGAAAAATTTGGTCATCTATGGGTAACAAAAAATCAGCACTTACTATTGCATCGATTTCTGTCACTGTATTCCAAATATTATCAACAATAAGACTTCAAAGATAAGTAAGAAGCGCAAACGAAGCTTACGAAATTGAAGCAGTGTTGCTATTTTGAAGGCAGCTTGAGGTTGAACCCCCCTTTTCGCCATTGAGTGAATTTCGCAAAGATGTCCAAAAACTTCCATTCTAAAAATTAAATAAAATCTTTAAATCATACTTCAGGTTTTTCTGGCTGAGATGAGTCGATGGCACTATCTCTGGAATTCTGGGAACAGCAATTACTTCCTGGGAAATCGAACTGACTAGAGGGGTAAAATGAATCACAGGTAAAAGAAGAATCTCGTTGAAGTTGCTCCATAAATCAAGAGTAAATATACCTTTGAGAGTAGGATTTTACTTCAAGGCGCGGTATCTTGAACGGCATTTTAAATTGGCAGCTAGAAGTGTGCAAAACTCTATGTACCGAGATGAGTAAATAAACACGTTCAAAGCAGCAGATTAATTCGCGTGAATCATGTGGTACTTTGAGTTACAATGGTAACACAAGTACCTTTTTATGGGTAAATAATAACAATATAATGTGCCACTCGTATCTACGATTTTGACATTTCTATATATCGGTCAACTTATTGACTACTATTACACATCTCGACAGTCAGATCACAAAATACTTAACTATAATTTATTTGGTTCTACCGCACCAGCTTCATGTTTCGTTGTAAGGTTGATGGTAGGTAAAATGTCGTTGCCTTGATTTTTCTAGGTAAATCACGTTCGTCTAGCTCCCCTTCCTAATTCGTGCATAGGTATTGACGATCACTGTGCCATCCTGAAATTTCCTACTAGATGGGAGAAGGCATTAAATGGAACTGGATATATGTATTCTCTGAAGGGCAAAGAATTAAGCCGGTGAGTTGCCCGAAGTCCAACCCACGCGTTCTAAGACTGGACGTGTCTTAAAATACCCGCCAGACGTCAGATGGTAACATAAACTAAGTATTACTGTGGAATTATGCTATATCTGTCTTCCATACGAGCATATATTTAAGGCCGATCTCCCTGTAAGCCTTGATATCTCCACCCGGGCGCAAGTGATAGACAACATATGTACCCACCCTCCAAGAAATCGGTTTTTAGCCGAACTTAACTACCGATTTGATTGAGGCTATTGGGAATGCTAATCTTAATCCTTTAGTCTCATATGAGCGAATTTTGTGACTTCTAACACAAAAGGCGTGCAGAGACGTGTGCTAACAGCTGGAAAATGCTTTAGTATTTATCCGCCTCTTATGCGTGCAGGCTGGCCAGTTCCTCCTTTTTATCTTCTTGACTATATTATATACACTCCCTCTCACTTAATCCCTTCTTCATCCGAACAAACTTAACAATACCTGCAGTCAAATATAGCAGTGTTATTCCTTGTCTATAGTTTACGTCTTCCGACTTAAGAATGCGTAGCTACCCATACTTCCCATTTGAAATTGAAAGCACATGAGCTGACTGCATAATTGCTTGTATTCAGGCAGTATGGGTACAGGTGTGACTACACCATGACTCAGGCCTGTCCATCCAGCAGAAGCAACAGATCAGACACCGTAACCATCGAGTAGCTTAGCTAGAGAAATATTACGGAGAACGTACCTCAACGTGCACCATACTGCTTAGCTTATGTGGCTCCCAGATGTATGAGAGTTACTCTGCTAGTTGTGCGTGCAGACTGACCTTCAAGACAAGCCAAAGCTCAGTCCTCCTAGATGTGTTTTTAGTCCACTTTAATGCCTTCTACTGTCTAATGGGAAGTCTTGGGGCTCCATATGTGAATTGCCATAAATACGATGCAGGATTTTGCCAAACTGTTACAATCACAACTGCTTCAATTTTTAACACAAAGGCCAGACACACTACGGCAGCTTTGCTATCGACATGATCTTTTCATGGTCATACAAATGTCAATTTTGCCTGTCCGTCATTCCTTTTATTTTTAAACAGATCACAAATTACACCTCAGCAAATGATAAGTGAAAAGTTTTCCTTATGTAGACAAAATTGGATTAACATTATTATGAACTAATCTTCCTCCTAAAAAAAGGTGAAAAACCAATTTAAATGAGTTAAGTAAGCACATCCAAGCATTCCGATCAACTTTTCCCACCTCCTCGTCCACCTCATCATTTTCACCCTCATCATCGATTACGTCTGCCGCATCGTTGTCCATCCCACCTTCTTCCATCATCTCCTCAATTTTCGCCTCAGGCATCATCTCAGCGGCCTTGACACTCTCTTCCTCTTCCTCCTCCTCCTCCTCTTCCTCCCAAAAGTGTTCATCCTGAGACAGTTAAGCATGTTTTAAACCTAAGCTTTTAAAGGATCTCCTATCCAGAATCATAATCAGCCAGTTTGTGAAGGATTTCAGGACACTTTGTTTGGATTTATGGTGGATTCAGGACAGAACATGTCAATCATGCGTCTAAAGATCGAACTGATTTTCTTCATAATCACTTCTTAAAGTGCACAATCTGCTGAATGTTAAAGTGGGTCCAGCAAACTGGACGAACCGTGAATTTTCGAGTTCTCGACGTAATCGTCTCCAACGCATTGAATTGCAGTCATGCAAATTCCAAAACCGAAATGAGAGGCGACTTAAAGCTAATGGTAGTGTTACATGTCAGTTAACACGGGTGAAACATTTTACAATCCAAATTTGCTACACATTGTGCCGACTGGTCTTAAACACTTGAAACATCTGCAATTTTTAATTGTATAGGCATGGAAGAATTTACAAACTATGTCTCCACTTTGCATCAAGACTCATTTACTGTGTCAGTGACTCCTCAGCCCTTCTTCTTTCTAATTCAAATTCAGCGGATGCAGTACTGTTGGTCTCCAAATCCGCATACCTGACTCAGGGTGCCAAACATCCTCTGCCTACAGTCAATCTTGCCATTTGAATAAACAAATGCCATCGCCACGTGCATTGCAGTGTAGAAAGGCACTGAACCCTTCCGCAATGAAGACGAGTAAAATGATATGCAACGAAGACCATACATTGAATGATTGGCAGAACTTCAAGTTATTTGACCGCCTTCCGCCTACTCACTCTACGGTAATGAGTAAAACGTGCAAAAATTTGCATAAATGATTGCATTAGGAATGCAACAGTGTGGATAAAGTGGGAGAAAAATTGGAATGAGAAGTGAGGACAATAGACAATGAGACGCACCAACTTTTCGTAGAATGCCAGTGACTCTGCCACCTCATCAGACGAGGTCCTGTCCTTATCCAAACGCTCAAGGTAGGGCATTTGACTCAAAACAATGGGCCTATAGTGATCCCTGTCTGCGATCGGGTTGTCTGAGGTACAGAGGAGGGAAAAACTTCACTTTATAAGCGGATTACACTTGCACATCCGAGCACGCACTTTTAAACTGAAAGACACATTCACGACTTCAGCACTTATAAAATTGCAATGTAAAACTAATTTTGAATTAAAATTCCCAAGGATGTAATAACGACGAGAGACGCTCTTCGAGTAATCGGTTTGAAAA